AAGTTTTTTTTAATTTCTAGAAAGAAGCCAAGATGTATAAATACCTAAATATTAAACAATAAATAGAATTTACAATAAACAACAATAAGCAACACACTACAAAAAAAAACAATACGATACAACAAAAAGAAACACAATGCAACAAAATGAAACAATCTTGATACAACAAAAAGAAACACAATGCAACAAAATGAAACAATTATGATACAACACAAAGAAACACAATGCAACAAAACGAAACAATTCTGATACAACAAAATGAAACAACAAACAAATGAAGCCATCTTCCACCCGGGGTAGAGTGAACTCTTAAAATTGATGACTTGTTCAGGACACTGAAAGAAGAAGAGCATGCAATATCTAATCCGTTTCTCCTTTTCCATTGAAGAGGAGATTGGTTCATTTACTCTGTTGCATTGATCTTCTTCACCTTTTTTCAGTCTAAATCACTTTCCTTGATCAATACCTTTCTGAGATCCCAATCTGCTATCTGCGATCTATATATGCTCCCTACATATGCTACATTTGAAAATTGAGGCAAGTTGTTATGCAACTTCTTATGGCTTGTGTGCAATCTGCATTCTTAAGGCATACAAAACTCCCATCACAATTAAAACTTATCTATGTATTCTTGCGCCTTTCTATGACACGTTTTGCATTGCTAGGAACTCCACCAGCCTCCCAACAAAACTTAAAAAAGATTACTTTAAACCTCAATTAGGGGATCAAATTTAGGCCACTTTTACCTTGGTTTTACTGGGTGGATTCAAACCATAGGCTGAACCTCCAATCCAGTTCATCAATCACTATAATCTCCATAATCATCAGAATCTAAACCTCATTTTTCATCCACATTTATATCTGAGTCATTGCCGTCATCCATGTACACACTACCACCTTCAAAGTTTTGGCCATCATCCCTGTAACCACCACCCTCTTCTTCCTCCATCCCCATTTATATCCGAGTCTTTGCTTCCTCGTGATCTTCTACACCTACTACTGCAGAGATTCCAATTCATAATTTGGAATTACAGTCACTCAATATTCAGCCTTAGTACCTTACATGATATACAACAATAAGCTAAGCCAATTTTCTATTCCCGACTAATAAGGAGCTATGCATTTGCAAATAGTGGCTTCTAATATCTTTTTTTATGACCACACAATAAGATACTAAATTCTAAACACCAGATTTGTTTCGTTTTGATAACTTTAGTGGATTTTTGGAAAGGAATGAAAAGCAAGTCCTTCCCACACCACAAAATGTCTTTAAATCATCAAATTGCAAGAAAGTAAAGAAACACTAAGAAGCAATAGAAATTCTTAAGTTCTCAAACATAGTTGAAATTACTCAGATACACCCAGCCACTTTTAAAAACTGCTGCAAGGTGTAAGAAATCCACATATTAATAACTACAAACACATCAGTCTCTACTATATCATTGAGCACAACCCAGTGCACTTGGAAGATAAAACAGCCAGAAATAAGCACTACCTAGTCTCACTCTTTTGTTTTCATTAAGAAATTAACACTGCCTAATCAAGAATATAAAAACTAAGGCTTCTTTGGTGGTAGACCTAATCTCATCTAAACAGCAATGTGGCTTTTGATTTAATTTGGTTGAAAAAGACTTCAATGTTACTTCTTCTGGATGTGCAAAAATCAGCAAAGCAAGTACATCAGAATTCAGAACAGACCTTAATTGAGCTTTTCCTGGACATTGATCCCCATTGAGTTGGCAGTGCCAATAATGGACTTAGAAATGGACTCCAGAGACATATACTGCAAAATGGATCACTTTGTTTGATTTTTTCAATTCCATGCTTTAGGGATATCCTAGAGGCGGTGATGTGACCAGGGCGGCAGCTGCCACTCTCCACCCCACCGCCAGTTTCAGAGGGAGATATCAACACGAATTCGAAGATTCCGTCCTTGAAAGCCATCATCGTAACAGACTTACGAGTTCCATACCTGTATTTATGCGTATAGGCATTGGAAATTAAAATCCTTGCAGAATTCCATGGGCTATAACTTGTATTGACCTGGAGCCGGGCCTAATGGCGATTCAGGCTTTGTAGCGCCGACGTCGATCCTTAGTGGATTGTAGCCGACGGGGGACGCCGAGTCAAGATTTCCTTCAAAGTCTAAACCACATACAAACTATATAATTGACTTTGTTAGTTAATAGCTAGGGAGGATCTAAGATGGATTTCATCACCTTCAGCAAAGCTATCTGAGGCACATCTCAACCGATAGGAAGTAAAGCCGCATAGGATGACAGGGCGGAGGACGGTGCACAAAGCCGCACATGACGGATGACGGCGCACGGAGCCGAACAGGACGGAGGGCAGAGTGCGGAGGCTGGAGACGCATCTAGAGCCGGGCAGGTGGAGAACAGTTGTACACGCTCTTGCTTCAGGTCAGATGCCAGATCGCCGACGATGATCGATCTCTCACTCTCCCTTTGAGTTTTGATTTAGATAGGTTATTTTTGAAATAATAAAACAAAAGTGAAAAGGCAAAAGTTTAAAATTGAAAGATAAATAATTAGGTGACATAAATGATAAGGAATAAGTAAAGGTGGACTGAACGGGATATTTCCACAATATGTTTTCTTCAATTTTCAATAAGTTCATGATTTAGTTGAAGAACTTTCTACTAGTAGCTCACGATATTAAAATTTACAAATGTAGAAGGCTCATGTAAATCAATTACAAACTATAAGGGCCCGTTTGGTGACGGCTGCAACGGCTGAAAGAGCTGAAATTGATGAAGTGAAAGTGTTTGGTAATATTGTGTCTGAAATGGCTGATTGAGTGTAAAATTACAATAAAGGTTACCAATTTATTTCAATTTTAAAGGGGATCCCTCTATAGTCTATATTGTTGTCGAGGCCATAGATTTATCCTGAGAAACAAAAGCAATATGTTTGGGAGACATTACACGGGAGCAATAAGTAATATCAAACCAGGTCGATTAAACAAGATATTTAGCCTCGATTAGAAAACATATTCAAGGACCCTTCTCACTAAATTGATGTAGAACAACTGGGGATGAACAAACCCTCAAATAATCATTATCATATACTCCGTATTTAGGGAACAACTGGGAGCAACATGGGGTTGGAAAAAAGAAGAAGAGGGAGAGAACATACTTACCTTTAGAAAAAATGAAGCAGTCAAGCCGTCAATTGAAAGAAGAGGTTGAAGCAATTGCGGATGTATATTTCAACAGAAGGGTAAGATGGTCTTGTGATTAGCCAACAGTAAAATAACGCATTTCAGCTCAAGAAGTAACCCTATACTTGTTTTTTCTACTGATAATAATTATCAGCCAGAGCAGCCATTAAGTATAATGTTGACTTGTAAGGGATTAGAAGCTATTGAAGTATCAAGCTTAACATCTCTTTTGTTACCGGCTTACAGCAAAGCAAAGTAAAGAAAATCGCCCAACACTTCTGCTCAGAACTTATAAATTTTCAAAAACATATGAAACGAGAGAAATAGAAAGTGACAATAAGTCATCCATCTATATAGTGATCCCATGGAGAGAAGAAACAAAAGAAAAAATGTTTAGAGTAACTACTAACCAAGGCAGGTCTCTTCTAATTTAGAGTGATGTTATCCTAATTTTTAGAAAGTCAGAAACCAAAGTTGGCTGGTCTTCTAAACGTCACATTCACCTTACACTTGGCAACACATTTACACAAAAAAAAGGAACGTATAACCAGAAACTAAAGATGATAATCCATTGCTTCTATTTTCCAATACCAGCAAATGTGTTCATTCTCACGTATTCTAAATCCTACTCGATTACAATAATATTGAGCTTTTGTTAAGTAGGAGGATACCTTAGTCAATCCCACCCCAAATGCAAACTTCGCCAAACCTTTCTAACGTGCAAGTGAAAGATCTAAACCCATCTCAAACAGCTGTAAATTTAAGTTAAATATTCAATATGTAACTGAATATGCAATATACATACAAATTATGTCTTCAAGGAACAAGAAAGATCTCTAAGCCCCCAAAATGTGGTTAAATTTCACAAGGTACAACTTTTAGATTCTGGTAAGGTAGAGTCTCGTAAATTATCAAATGTACTAATATTTTTTAATTGATTTTTAAACTAAATTTAACATACTTAATTATCTTGTTTGGCATATCAAATTCAAGAAACAATTAATCAGAGAATCGATATGACAACAATCATAGGTGAAGGAGATGATAGACTATGTGTTTAAGGATAGACTCTAAAAATAAAACCCGAATAGAGATAAAATACCTAGGTGAAGGAGATGATAGATTTCTGAAATGATTAGCTCCAGACGATGAAGGTCGGCATTTCTCTGGAGATTGGTGTTAATCAGTGAAGATCCCCCACTGGCTTGTTCCCTCAGAGCTTTGGCGGCTAGTGATGCACGAAGTATCTGCAGCGATAAACGTAAAAGAGGAGAACAGGGTTAAAAAATATACTCTCGCATCCCTGATATGTCTGAACCATAAGGACCGTGAAATTTGAGCTCAACGATTAAGACACCAATTGATTGAGCGAATAAGTTGCATTTTTTATTAAGTCATAAGTAAACACAAACATATAGCTTACCGATTAAGTCATACCTCCCATTAAGTCCCAAGTAAACGGGACCTAAGTAGCTCACATAACAATAGCCAGTTGCTAGCAGTTGGATACTTGGATCATATGCAATTTATAGTCTCATTTAACAAAGCAAAACAATCAACTAACTTATCATATAACTAACTCAACAATATTCATAAATTGCACAATAAAAGATAGAGAATTTCTTTTCTAAGCTGGTCATTCTGAATATATGTCTAAATATTTTTATAACAAGAAGTCTTGATACGTCAATGTTAATGCTGAAATAGACATGTTATACATTTTTCATTGTAGAAAGATGTCTAAATTCAATACTTATAGCCTATGATCTGAATATGTAATAATATCTGGTAGAAGAACAAATTGTGAATTCTAAGGAAAAGAAACAAACGTAAGCATACTAGATTCAAAACCATTCGATTAGCACATAGTGAATACTGTACTAGATGCAACCCAAATTTAAAGATTGCGCATGTAGCATCTCGCTACTATGAGAATAGAGTAAAGCAGTGTTTGCCTTTGCTTAAGAAAATCACTTTTCAGCTTTTGGCTTAAAAAAAGTTAAAAAGAGTGTTTTCAAATGACTGTTTCTGCTTAAATTAATCACTTAAAAGCTAAAAGCTGGAAGCAGGTGGAAGAGTGCTTTAAACTGCTTTTCACTTTTTCTATTACACAAAAAGTACTTATTTTACCAAACACTACCAACTTTAACTTTTTCAGAATCACTTTTTTCTCAAACACTACCAAGTTTTACTATTAATCACTTTTCCCAAAATCATTTTAAAAAATCACTTTTTTAAAGTTGAAGCAATTGCAAACACTCCCTAAATCTAGTTTTGATTACTCACTTATCAATTATCATTTCCTTTTTGCAACAAACAAATATTTATAAAAATTTACATCATTTAAATGCAAGTCATTTTCCAAAATTAAAGCCATATACACAACAATTTTCTGCATTTGAAAAGAAAAAAAGGCCAAAATTAGTTCAATTTAAAAGCAAAGCGATTTGCAAAAAGAGGGTATATCTGGGATGATGCGGAGGAAAAAAACACAACGTTGTTAGAACTTAGCAGTTAGGAATGAAGCATCAACATATTTCAAGCATGTAGCGAAAAATACACCACTTCCAAAGTTAATTCAAATGCAAATAAAAAACGCTTCCAACAATAATGCTTACTAACAATATGTTACTCATAAAAATCAGTTCATACTTCATAGACATCACAAGGAAACAAATAAAGATACAGAGCGATGTCAACTTTTAAAGTATGAAAGTTCCAACAAATCAAAAACGTAAGAGTTCAAACATGATAAACATGAATTTAAGAAAACAAGACATTAAATTCATAATCATTTAATTGATTGAAGTAACATGTGACAATTCCTTAGTGGGTGCTTATATTGATTATATGCATCAATACAACTCACATGATTACATTAACCTGATGTTTTAAAACCAGTTTATGCTCTGCTCTAACCATCAATTTCTTTGGATGGTTTTAGATAATAGTGAAGAAGACAGCTTTGAGAACAACATATAAATGAAAATAATTGGAGCACATGGGACCTGCAATGTAATTTGCCTCCACAAAATTTTAGCTCTGGGATAAATAATATAAGAATCTGTGCAAACTATAGAGAGGATTTATTATAAACATATATAGAGTAGTATAGAAATGAAATAAAGCAAGGGACTAACTATAAGCGAGTAAAGCGGATCTAAAATTTACTGGATTGAGACTGTTAATTAAACCTTAATTAAACCTTAATGATTGTGTATGACTCTGTCAATTTTACTAGAACTCAAACCTTCGGATTAATTATTTATACTTCACCTTAGTTGTTTTATGATGCTATCTTTTAGAACTGTGTTGTGTGTAGCATTAGTATTACAAAAGTTTGACACATCGCAACTTAAATCCAGGAGCCCTTTTTTCTTTGTGTCTAAGTATTGATGGCTCATACTTTGAAGTTAGAACAAAAATATTAAAATAAGCCAATTCTTTTCTGAAAGCAAGCTAAGAAGTAAAATGCTCAAAAATGTAATGCAAAAGAACCAACAAACAAAATAATTAAAGTGGGATAGATTATTTTTACTATTGTTGGGATATATTATCCCGGCCTATTACTGTTCAGGAGCCCAAAACATTATCCAGTACGGAGCCCGAGCAGCTAGGCCCACTTTGGCCATTAGGCCCGACATCGGCCCGTTTGGTCCATTAGGGTGGAGTACTTCCCTCACCCTTTTCCCTATTTATAGGAGGCTTTCCCTCCATGTAAAGGATCCCCTTTTCCTCCTTCTTCGTGCTTCTTCTTCTCTAGATTAGCTTGATCCTCCATTAATAGGAGCTTGAATATTGTACTATGTAATAGTGAGGAGAGTCCTAATGAGAATGAGAGGGCTTGGACATTAGCCTAAAAAGTCCTGTGGTTTTCTCCCTTTCCGGGTTTCCACGTAAAAATAGCTTGTTCATACACATTTATACATATATTTACTATATCGTGTTGGATTAAACCCAACACTGGCGCCGTCTGTGGGAATCTGTCCAAAAAGATTCATGTGTTCTACACAAAAATGATACGGAAATGGACTGATTTCAGCAAAAAATAAAGAAAATGAAAACATCCTGGAAAAATGATTCTGAGAAGCTCTGGATCTAGGAAGAAAAATGTGATGCTGGAGGTTTTGGATTTCAACGAGGAAGAAGAAAAGGTGTTACGAAGATCTGGGCTTTTAGCAAAAAGAAAGAAACAAACGGTTCTAAGGAAGGAAGGAAGGAAGTATGAGAAGCTATGGAATCTGGGAGCTCGGGTCCGGATTTTCCGGACTAGGATGGACTCGCCGGAGACTGCCAGAGCCGCCGGAGGTCCCGAACCAGTTCAGGACGCTTCGCCACCAGCAGCTGAAGACCGCCGGTCACCGCTCGTGGCTGGCTTGTCCACCTTGCCATCAACCGGAGCTTCCTGGGTTCCCGCCATTTACGGCGGTTTATAGCTCCAGGGAACCAAGTGTGCAGACGAAGCTAAGCCTCCACGGACGCCTTCGATCTGCCGTGACACCATCACCGCCGTGAGTCAGCGGCCGACATGTACTTGGCATCGGCGGGGTGTTCCATCTGCCTCTCCACAAGACGTTCTTCACTCGGCTAAAGGCGGACCACGTAGGAGGGGACCAAGTCTGAAAAAGGAGTTAGCAGATGAGTGGAGCACATGGTTTTATCTGAGTGCATGGGTCAACTAGCTGCTAAGTACGTACTCCGTAGTTCGGCTGAATAGCTCCAAGAGATAAGTATCACAAATACTCCCTCATTTACGTGTTAATTAAGTTCCAATAATGTTATTGCTATTAATTATTATCACCATTATTTAATAGGGATAAAAATCTCCCAAAATTAAATAATGTCGAGCGACGCTCTTGTGATAAGTAGTTTAACAGTCATTTAAATTTAATGACTGTTGTTGTGGGCCTGTCGGCCCGCTCCCAATCGGCTTTAATTAGCGAGCGGAACGTACCTGAATGGCCTTTGATAGGAGAATATCATTGCTATTACCTGTTACATCACTATTATTTATTAGGGATAAAAATGTCCCGAATTAAATAATGTGGAGCGAAGCTCTAATGATGGTTGGTTCAGCCAACATTTTATTGGATATTTAATTTCTTGTGGGCCTGTTGGCCCACTCTTGGTCGGCTTGATTAAGCGATCCGAGCGTCTCCAGAAGGGCGATGCCCCGACGACGCATTTTAATTTGAGGGTTGCGCATTAGTCCACACGGCACTACGTGCCCGATCGACGACCGTACCCCAATGTAATCTACGCCATTAGGCGCGAAGTGACTATTGCCGAACGTGGCCTATGGGGCCCGAGGGCACCAAAGCACTCAACCTCGTTTTTCCGAGGGCAGTGCGACCAACTTGGGTCTGAGTTCGAAAACTCACAGACCGATGAATATTTTTATGTGACGTTCGGTAGGCTGCTAAATGGCCCTGCCGCAAGTTGTTACGTCCAGTAACCCCGCACGATGAGCCAGACTGAGGGTCACAGTGACCCATAGGCCAGTAATCGTGGGTGTTAGAGAGAAATCCACACAGATGGCTATGTATATATACTGTCGGGCCGTGCGGCCCGTTATCATGCTTATTGCGCAGCTGAAGCCACTCGACGCGCTCGAGCGAAATGATTAAAAGACGCTCGGCCCGAGTCTTGAAGACGTTCAGGGCCAGCTAAAGAGGGGACCACCATGGTGGAGAACCGTGGGACGAGCATCTCCACCCCAGAGACCGATGGCATAGGAAGAACACCTAGAGGCCGAGGGTCTAGAGGGAACTGCCACGGCGAAGAACCGTGAGACGATCATCCATCATCCAGAGGCCGAGGGCCAAGAAGAAACCATCACGGCTGAGAGCCGTGATACGAGCATCTCCACCCCAGGAGCCGGTGGCCTAGAGGAGACCACTACGACCAAGGGTCGTGGGACCATCCTTACATCACGACCGACCCCACGGTACGGCGTGTTTATCACCTGAAGACCGGTATCATCCCCGCGCTGCGCGGATGAGAGCTGTTGCACGGATACACTTGACCGGCTTCTCATTGCCGACATCATTATATCATGACCGGCCTCTCGGCACGGCGTGTTTATCTTTTGAAGACCGACCTCGTCCCCGAACTGCGCGGATGAGGACCGTTGCTTGATCTTGGTCGGCCTCTCATTGCTGACATCATTACATCACGACCGGCTTCCCGGCCCGGCGTGCTTATCATATTTGAAGACCGGCCTCGTCCCCGCCCCTCGCGGATGAGGACCGTTGCTTGCCTCTTTCTGATCGGCCCCCAGGCCGATACTTTTACATGGCTACCGACCCCCCTGATACGGTGCCATTATCATACTTGAAGACCAGCCTCGTCCCCGCACTGCGCGGATGAGGACCGTTGCTTGATTTCAGATCGGCCCCTCATTGCCGACACTATTATATCACGACCGGCCTCCCGGCTCGACGTGCTTTCCATATTTGGAGACCGGCCTCGTCCCCGCCCTCGCGGACGAGGGCCGTTGCTTGATTTTCTCAGATCGGCCGCTCATTGCCGACGCCATTATACCACGACCGGCCTCCCGGCTCGGCGTGCTTTCCATATCTGAAGACCGGCCTTGTCCCCGCCCCTCGCGGACGAGAACCATTGCTTGATTCTTTCAGGTCGGCCCCTCACTGCCGACACTATCATGTTATGTTCGGCCTCTCGGCACGACATATTTATCTTTTGAAGACCGGTTTCATCCCCGCGCTGCGTGGATGAGAGCCGTTGCTCGGATATATCGGCCTGATTGGACACTATTGTCATCTCCTTATCAGGACTGACTGCTCAACGACATTATGATCATTGTATACCGACCTTCTTGAGTTAGCGATCGGGCACACCCCTCCCCTCCAGGAGGGTGACCATCGCCTTCGCATGACGACCAGCATTTCCATCGCCTCGTCATTCTATTCATTTTGGTATCCCACCACCATTATGTGTGACATCACTTGTGGTCATTCTTAGAACCGATGAACGTATTTTCCTCCCACAAAAAAAAAAGATGGGGAGAAGGGGAGACGAGATCCTATGAGAGAGGGAGTCTTGACGAGGTATGCCAGATCTTCCTTCGCCGCGTATGACGAACGTCTCCTGACACGGAGGCCAGTAGGAACGTGGGGGGGGGGGGTAGACGAACCAAAGGGAACCTCGGCAAGATAAACCAGTTCCTCCCATTTCCCGTGGATCGATGAACACCTTCTGCAAAAGCAGAAGGCTAGTAGGGCCACGAGCATGGGACGACGAAGCACGGAACCCGCGATAGGGTAACCAGTTCCTCCTTGCGATCGGTGAATGACCGAACGTCTTCTTCGAGGGAAGAAGGTTAGTAGGATCACGACAGGGACGAACGAAGAAACGGGAACCCTGACAGGGTGTACCGGTTCCTCCCCCTTATGGACGGATGACGAACGTCTTATGCGAAGCCAGAAGACTAGTAACTCACGACTGGGGACGAACAGAGATAGGGAATCCTGACGTGGATAAACCTGTTTCTTCTCATAGTTGGGATGACGAACGTCTCCTGCGAAACCAGGAGACCAGTACTCACGAGACTTGGGAAGAACAAAGACCGAGTTCTTTACCGGAGTCTGTTGCGTACCGAGTGTACACCGCTTAGCGGTCCATACATAGGACCACGAATACGGTAGACGAACGAAGACCAGCTCCATGGATCAGACACGAAGAACCAGTTCTTTATCAGAGTCTGTTGCGTGCCGAGTGTACACCGCTCAGCGGTCCATACATAGGACCACAGATACGGTAGACGAACGAAGACCAGCTCCATGGATCAGACACGAAGGACCAGTTCTCCACCGGAGTCTATTGCGTACCGAGTGTACACCGCTTAGCGGTCCGTACATAGGACCACAGATACGGTAGACGAACGACGATTAGCTCCCCAGATCAGGTAGGAGGGACATCGCCCAGATTTATTTCAGGCTCACCATTCCTTCCCGGATGGAGTCCTGGCAGACGATCGGCTTCTCACAGCCAATCAGGAGAGAAACTTGACACATCACCAGCACGGCCGAGGGCCGTGAGACGATTATCACTCACCGACAGGCCGAGGGCCATGAGATGATCATCACCAGTCTTATGCAGTACGATTGGCCCCTCAGCGCCATCGTACCCAGCTCACGTTCGGCTCGCCCATTCCCTCCAGGATGGCGACGACCGTCTTATGCATCACGATCGGCCCCTCAGCGCCATCGTGTCCAGACTCACGGTTTGGCTCGCCCATCCCTTCCAGGGTGGCGACGAACGTCTTATGCATCACGATCGGCCCCTCAGCGCCATCGTGTCCAGATTCACGGTTCGGCTCGCCCATTCCCTCCAGGATGGCGACGATCGTCTTATGCAGTACGATCGGCCCCTCAACGCCATCGTACCCAGCTCACGTTCAGCCCGTCCATCCCTTCCAGGGTGGCGACGAACATCTTATGCATCACGATCGGCCCCTCAGCGCCATCGTGTCCAGACTCACGGTTCGGCTCGCCCATTCCCTTCCAGGATGGCGACGACCGTCTTATGCAGTACGATAGGCCCCTCAGCGCCATCGTACCCAGCTCACGCTCAGCTCGTCCATCCCTTCCAGGGTGGCGACGAACGTTTTATGCATCACGATCGGCCCCTCAGCGCCATCGTGTCCAGACTCACCGTTCGGCTCGCCCATTCCTTTCCAGGATGGCAACGACCGTCTTATGCAGTACGATCGGCCCCTCAGCGCCATCGTACCCAGCTCACGCTCAGCTCGTCCATCCCTTCCAGGGTGGCGACGAACGTCTTATGCATCACGATCGGCCCCTCAGCGCCATCGTGTCCAGATTCACGGTTCGGCTCGCCCATTCCCTTTCAGGATGGCGACGACCGTCTTATGCAGTACGATCGGCCCCTCAACGCCATCGTACCCAGCTCACGTTCAGCTCGTCCATCCCTTCCAGGGTGGCGACGAACGTATTATGCATCACGATCGGCCCCTCAGCGCCATCGTGTCCAAATTCACGGTTCGGCTCGCCCATTCCCTTCCAGGATGGCGACGACCGTCTTATGCAGTACGATCGGCCCCTCAGCGCCATCGTACCCAGCTCACGCTCAGCTCGTCCATCCCTTCCAGGGTGGCGACGAACGTATTATGCGTCACGATCGGCCCCTCAGCGCCATCGTGTCCAGATTCACGATTCGGTTCGCCCATTCCTTTCCAGGATGGCGACGAACGTTTTTATGCATCACAATCGGCCCCTCAGCGCCATCGTGTCCAGACTCACGGTTCGGCTCGCCCATTCCTTTCCAGGATGGCGACGACCGTCTTATGCAGTACGATCGGCCCCTCAGCGCCATCGTACCCAGCTCACGTTCAGCTCGTCCATCCCTTCCAGGGTGACGACGAACGTATTATGCATCACGATCGGTCCATCAGCGCCATCGTGTCCAGATTCACGGTTCGGTTCGCCCATTCCCTTCCAGGATGGCGACGAACGTCTTTATGCAGCACGATCGGCCTCTCAGCACCATCGTGTCTGGCTCATGTTCGGCTCGCCCATCCCTTCTAGGATGGCGATGAACATCTCTTATGCAGCACAATCGGCCCCTCCGTGCCATTGTGTCAAGTTCATCTCCGGATCGCCCATTCCTTCTAGGATGGCGATGACCGTCTTATGCAGCACGTCTGCCTCTCGGCGCTGACATGCCCGGTTTATCGATGAGAGCCACCGCTTTCTATCACATCTCACATTCCTTCTCTCATACATTGCACCCATACATTACATGCATTCATGCATTCATGCATCATACCTCATACATTCATACATGCACACGTGCATCATGTTTTGACAGTACCTCGACGTCGGTTTATAGATGCATGGACCTCTAAGCTTCTCCGATTGGAAAGCTCGAGTCAGAGTCCTTTACTCTCGCCTGATGCATTCAGGGGGAGTGTGCCCGTGGAGGAGCACCTTTCGCCCGACCCTGTCGGGAAGGGGGGTGCCTCACCGGCAGATTACGTTCAGGAGTGCAGATACCCACTCATATATTATGATTATTCGAAGACACAGGTTCCAGCTAGACAGAGGAAGAGCACAGGCAAGAGTATATTTTCTCGAGCAGATTCGCACGCTCACTACTCAAGAAACTGGGGGACTTGTGTTGGGATATATTATCCCGGCCTATTACTGTTCAGGAGCCCAAGACATTATCCAGTACGGAGCCCGAGCAGCTAGGCCCACTTTGGCCATTAGGCCCGACATCGGCCCGTTTGGTCCATTAGGGTGGAGTACTTCCCTCACCCCTTTCCCTATTTATAGGAGGCTTTCCCTCCATGTAAAGGATCCCTTTTTCCTCCTTCTTCATGCTTCTTCTTCTCTAGATTAGCTTGATCCTCCATTAATAGGAGCTTGAATATTGTACTATGTAATAGTGAGGAGAGTCCTAATGAGAATGAGAGGGCTTGGACATTAGCCTAAAAAGTCTCGTGGTTTTCTCCCTTTCCGGGTTTCCACGTAAAAATAGCTTGTTCATACACATTTATACATATATTTACTATATCGTGTTGGATTAAACCCAACAACTATCATTAATGCAATAATTGTAATAATTAGTTGGAAAAGTGGGATAGATTATAAGTTTAAGAGTAAACAAGGTGATAGCTAATTAGAAGGAAATATAAGTTTAAGAGTAAAGAAGGCCATAGGTAATTAGAAGGAAAGATAAATTTTACATTACTTGTAGATGTCATCCTCCATGTATACCACGGAAGCGAAGTTTGAAAACTAATACCTTCCACTGATTGTATTTCATTGCCTTCACTAGCTACCTGATGCAAAAATAACACTGAGATAAGATAGTAGAGCACCGAGCATTTATCTTTGTGTCCAAGCAGTCCTAGTTTCTACTTTGAAATTAAAACACGAATCAGAGCCGTCTCCAGGAATTGTGATGCCCCAGACAAAAAATGACTAGTAGTATTTAAAATTAATAACATAATTAAATATGAAGTGATTAGAAAATTATAACACCATTTTTAACGAAAATATGAAGTGAAACAATTTTTCTCTTTAAAGCTCTTGACTCTTGTTTCCGTTTCCCCGCCATAGTAGATACTATAAAATCATAATTTAGCACTAAATATTAGGTATATTACAAGTTAGTAAATATCAAATATGGAAACATTGTTTAATAGAAACAGTTTCAAGCTAAATTTAATAAATGAATAACTACAAGAAAAAAAGAAAAAGAATAACACAAAGTTTCAAGTTTAATACAATTAATAAATACTACCTCCGTCCAAAAAAACTTTGACATTTTCAAAACTTTGACCAGCTATATCTTTCTATTGAAAATGATTTATAATATAAAAATTATATGAAAATGTTCTTTGTTAAAAGTGCTTTCATAAAAGTATAAAATTTATAACTTACATAATATTATACTAATCAAAACTAAGGTTCAAAATTTTGTAAATGTCAAAGTTTTTTGGGACGGAGGTAGTAAAAATTTATAGATTAGATGTAGAATAAGTCATCAATTTAATATCTATGCTGATTTTTTCAAAAAAAAACTATGCTGATAGTGAATTGCGGATGGGAGAAGAATGAAAAATTGAACATGAGGAAAATCAGAAATCATTAAAATATAACGAATTACTGTTGAAATCTCAAAATTTGGAAGGATCATTACTTGGTTTGCAGATTGGTAGGTCACCTGGCCCCCTGGCAGAAGTGCAGAACCGCAGAATTGGGATCATAATTTAGCACTAAATATTAGGTATATTACAAGTTAGTAAATATCAAATATGGAAACATTGTTTAATAGAAACAATTTCAAGCTAAATTTAATAAATGAATAACTGCAAGAAAAAAAGAAAAAGAATAACACAAAGTTTCAAGTTTAATACAATTAATAAATACTACCTCCGTCCAAAAAAACTTTGACATTTTCAAAACTTTGACCAGCTATATCTTTTTATTGAAAATGATTTATAATATAAAAATTATATGAAAATGTTCTTTGTTAAAAGTGCTTTCATAAAAGTATAAAATTTATAACTTATATAATATTATACTAATCAAAACTAAGGTTCAAAATTTTGTAAATGTCAAAGTTTTTTGGGACGGAGGTAGTAAAAATTTATAGATTAGATGTAGAATAAGTCATCAATTTAATATCTATGCTGATTTTTTCAAAAAAAAAAACTATGCCGATAGTGAATTGCGGATGGGAGAAGAATGAAAAATTGAACATGAGGAAAATCAGAAATCATTAAAATATAACGAATTACTGTTGAAATCTCAAAATTTGGAAGGATCATTACTTGGTTTGCAGATTGGTAGGTCACCTGGCCCCCTGGCAGAAGTGCAGAACCTCAGAATTGGGATCATAATTTAGCACTAAATATTAGGTATATTACAAGTTAGTAAATATCAAATATGGAAACATTGTTTAATAGAAACAATTTCAAGCTAAATTTAATAAATGAATAACTGCAAGAAAAAAAGAAAAAGAATAACACAAAGTTTCAAGTTTAATACAATTAATAAATACTACCTCCGTCCAAAAAAACTTTGACATTTTCAAAACTTTGACCAGCTATATCTTTTTATTGAAAATGATTTATAATATAAAAATTATATGAAAATGTTCTTTGTTAAAAGTGCTTTCATAAAAGTATAAAATTTATAACTTATATAATATTATACTAATCAAAACTAAGGTTCAAAATTTTGTAAATGTCAAAGTTTTTTGGGACGAAGGTAGTAAAAATTTATAGATTAGATGTAGAATAAGTCATCAATTTAATATCTATGCTGATTTTTTCAAAAAAAAAAACTATGCTGATAGTGAATTGCGGATGGGAGAAGAATGAAAAATTGAATATGAGGAAAATCAGAAATCATTAAAATATAACGAATTACTGTTGAAGTTTCAAAATTTGGAAGGATCATTACTTGGTTTGCAGATTGGTAGGTCACCTGGCCCCCTGGCAGAAGTGCAGAACCGCAGAATTGGGAGCGGCTTTACTGGCTTGGCAAAATGGGTAGCGGACTAGCGGCTTTACAAATTCTTTCATCTTCACATTTTAATTTTTTTTAATTAGCTTAAAGTGTTCTAGGCTAACTAGGAGTCCAGGCCCTAAATTCTACTTCGTAATTTTAATTCTAATATTTCTATTGGGCCATCAGGCTTGGCAGAATGGCAGCCAGGCTATCATGTCCTTGTCAAGTGGAGTATCATTTTGTTTGACTTTTAGAGTTTTGACTACTCCGTATTTGTCTATTTCCAATTGCTGTGTAGAAGTATTATATCAATACACTAATATACGTATATATAATAGGAAAAATTCAATGAATAATCCCAACTATCACGCGTCTTCCAATATTAATCCTAAATATGTGTAATTCTAAAATAATATTCCCTCCGTAACTTTAAAATCTTCCCACTTTCTTTTTTCGTCCGTAACAAAAAAATCTTCCCATTTCTAAATCTTCCTATCATACCCTCAATAATTCTGAAAATAATACACTATTACAACTACTTTTTTGGATTTATCCTACAATCCATCACCTTATTCCACTATCTTCCTATCATACCCTCAATAATTCATATTCTCTTTCACTATTCTTAATCTACCTACTTTTCAAATGTGAAGATTTTAAAGATAAGGAGGGAGTACAAAGTTTATATGTCATCTTCTCATATTGATCCTAGCTTACTTGAAACCTATAAAACCGGTAATAACTAAAAAAACTCAAAAAAAAGGAATAATTGGACTCTTCTTTGGACGGCTGAAACAACAAGCCGTTCATTTACTTCTTTGGGGACAGTTGGCCGGCCAGCCGCCGGCGAATGGAAGAGCAGATGGCAGTGTGCCAGTGTCGGCAAGGAGGAGCAGACCTTCAATCTCTTCTCTCCGGCTCCATACTCTATTCGAATTGAGGTCTTCACTTAACTGGGAATCTCCCATCACCGGTGGAGTCGTGGAGACAAAGTTTGTGACAGCAACAATCTAGGGACGATGAAACACATTCAACTATATATATCCCTTCTACCACCTATGACTCTGGTTTTTCTGTTCTCGGCTAAGTATGGGAATACTCCGGCTCTCTCCCCTCCACGTATATATCCATTTTGAATCTCATTCGGCTGTTCTCCTCTCTTAATTCGAAAGAAAAAGAAACTGATGGGGTAGAGATGAGAGATATGTGGTGTCTAGCAACAAATTCCATTTCCTTGGTTGTTGGGCCTAAAGCACGGGGGAAGGCAAAGAGGAGCACTGGAGCAACCGAGCAACTATGGAAAAATTAAAAGGAAAACGAGAATTAGAAACGAAAAAGAGGAAGAAAGAAGGGAGAGTGGGAGAGAAGACGAGATGAAAGAAAAACGAAGAATGAAAAGGATAGTGCACACTGGAGAAAACACAGAGCATAGGAAAAGAGAACACATACGGACTAAGAAATAAAAGGATGAACAAAAATAGACCAATCCAAACACGCCACGTGTCTAGTTACCTATTGAATTGGTTAATGCAGGTCACCGGGCTGTTTAGAGAAGATGACCATCATAGTTTAAATTATTTTAGAATTACGTATATTTGGGATTAATAACAGAATATACTTGATAATTGGGATTATTCATGTGAATTTTTCCTATATAATAATACTAACCTTTTTATTAAAACTTGATACCCTCCTTGGGGGTGGTGCCCTAGGCCATTAATTGCCTAGGTGCCTACCCCCATGGCCGGCCCTGACACAAATAAGCTAATCATTTGCAAAAAAAAATAAGCACTATTAGACTAAAGAAGTAAGAATGGCACATGACGTAATGAGTTACGTTTTGCATAATCATATCATATATACTATTCAATTGAAAGTAAATAATTTTTTGGTTGGATGGGAACATTTATTTGTACCAATTTACTTAAAGTATCATTGCTTCTGTTAAGAATGACATTAAGCTCTAATTCAAATTAAGATCTCATTCACGTTAGGAATATGATGCACTATCTATATCAATATAGGAAGGATCCGCATACTTTGAACATAAACTAAATTTGGAAACAAAGACTGCCATAATCACACATACTGCTTCTATGGTCTACCAATTAACCTTTAGAAGATGATTAAAGATGAATCTATAATCAATAGGTCTGCATTAATATTCAGGTTTTCTTCAAATTAATTTCAAATCTAAGAAGTAAAATGCTCAAAAGTGTAATGCAAAAGAGTCATCACACAAAGTAATTAAAGTGGAATGTATCATTTTCAATGTAATTACATCTAATAAATGTAATAAATAAATAAACAAATACGAATTATGAGTACTTCAAAAGCATAGTCCTTGTACCTCAAATGTATTTATTCATACATCAAAACTATGAATCGCTCATGTAATGTTCAAGGAGAGGCGTTTAGGAAAAATTGAATGATGAAATTCATTTGGATGAAGGAGGAAAGAAGAAATGGACTCATCAAGAAAACAAGACATTAAATTCAGTTGATAATAAACATGAATTTTAGAAAACAAGACATTAAGTTCAGCTCATAAAAGGGACAAAGACTGCATGTTATTCCACATATTTCATTCTTAATTAACTTAGAAACTAATTGAGTCAATAAGATACCAAGTTTTGTGACTCGACCACAGAGGACTCGGCCTTCTCTGCTTCTTCCTCACCATAGTCGTCGCAGCAAGAATCTGGTAGGACGACAGTGAATAGTGATCGATTACAGATCCTTAATTTCACCCCACTCAAGAACGGGGTCCAGAAGTGTGGCTGACGTAGACGAACACCAGGCAAACCCAACAATCCAAGATTCAACATTGAAATTGAAGCAATTAATCTACCCGTCCGTGAACAATAAAATCCACCCTAAACAAGTTCAATTTATGAATTGTTGGTCGAAAATCACCGCTTGAATCTCAAAACCGAAGCAGATGCCACACACTCGAAGATCGACAAAGCCCATTCGTTTCACGCGTAAGCCAACACCGTTCTAGACCTCTGCGTTCTCTCATCTTTTTTAGGCGTCTTCACAGGCGTTCAGAGATGCTGTCTTCTAGAGGATGTCGTGTCATTAGTTTCTTAGTAGCAGAAAGGGAGCAACGAGAACCGCTTGTGAAGACTCTCTAGCAGGATAATTGGTCGTGGAGACGCGGTTCTGTGAATGAAGAGAGAAAGAGCGATATTAAAGTTGATTAAGAGACCAGAGAAAGAAAAGAAAATTTAGGTGTTAAAATATGACAAAACAATGTTAAAATAAAATAAAATAGGGTGTGAACGTCACTATCTGATATTTATCCTATTGTGTCAGAAACTAATGACACTTATACATCGTAAAAAGATATGTCGTATTTTAGTGACACTATATTAAAAAGTGTCACTATAAGCCTGTTTTTTGCTAGTGCTCAATCTAGCATCCTCTCTGAATCCATCATGGCCGTACAAGAATAATAATAGGTATTGCAACCCCAGAAATAAAGGGTTTAACTCTGTCATTAACTGAAAAGCTCCGCTCTTTGTTTGAGCGAAAATAACTTGCTCTACTTTGTTCACATGGAAGTCTCCCTCAATACATGTTGTCACTTCAGAAACAGTGGGAGTATTATACTATACGTTCGTCCTTCTATCTTTCTCTTCCCTATTAGCCTCATTTTAAGTGTTGTGGAGTTAGATTCATTGAACCTATCTCCTGCCATCCGAAAAGATTTGGCATAGACGTTTTGTGTATCGAGTATATATCTCAAATCGTGCACCAATGTATCATCCAATGTCGTGTCACTCTCTTTCACGTGAAGCAATACTAGTGTACTCAAATATTTGAGTGCAATTAATATTGCATTATACTGATTAATATTTTTAATGCAACAACAAATTGCATTAACTAATATTGCAAGTATCTATTTTCATTATTTAAATAATACACTATTTCCCTTGCATATATTTATATAGCATTCTTACATTTGCCTCTAGTTGTACCAAGTATTTTTTATTAGTTGATGGAGTTTAATCAAGCTACGAGAGCTAATCTACGAGGGCAAATGAAACTTACGCGGCGTAAGACAATATTATTATTCGGGAATTCGAATCTTTACAGGCAGTATTTATAGACCTTAGGTTCTAGTCTTTCAGGAGGAAACTGATACATTTAATGCAATAAATTATAATAGAGTCCTGTAACGTCACAAACATTATGCAAACATTGTTCCTCTAGGTCACCATTTCTTCCGTTATTTCCTGCCGCTGCCAGATAGCTATGCTCGAATACTAGTCCGCCACATAAGTCCTAGGAAGAATCCGACCTCACTATAACTCTGTTAGGCTCGAGGTCTGTTGTCCAGCCTGGCCGGGCCGTGGCCAGGTTCCTTTTGCGGGTCGGGTTCCTAATTAGACCCAACAACTATTATTTATCATTAATCCCGATTGGTGGGCAAATCCCGTTGGTGGGATTATCTTAAGATGATTCTTGGCCACGGTTACGATCCATGGTACCATCATTAGTAAAATAAATAAATATTACTTCTAATTGTAACTCATATTTATCTATGTTCACAATATAGTAGTTTATCTAAGTTTTATTTAGTATCTCTATTTAAGTAATTTGTATACAAGAATGTACATAAGTTTAAATTTCAATATTTATACTCGATTACATACATGTACATATTTACTGTTTCGAAAATGCATATATTTACTAACCTCACGACTGATATTCGCTATGGATTTTTTTCAAATGGATCATATAAGTACATTTGTAAGAACTTTGGGCTTTTGCCATCATTTGGAGGGAGACTTCCAACTCTGTGATAGTTTTGACTATTCAAATGGAATACCTGCGATTTTTTTCCTTGATTGATTTTACGGTCTGTTTTTGTCCATCGACGTGAATGAAAAATTGAGTTATATGATTTGGCATTTTCAAGGAAAGGTGTATTCCGCTTGTCCTTACCAAATATCAAATCTTTAAAAAGTTTTGGTGCATTTTGGGGAGTACAATATTCCCTTGATTGCAACATAGTGTGAACTTTGGCCTTTGTTTGGCATACACTCTTTTGACTCTTTCTTCATGCCAAAAAAATGCACCACAATATTCACACTCATATATAGCATCACCAAGATATGTGTATCATGTTTTTTAAAAGGTGTAATGTAGGAATATATTTTGTTTTTAGTAAGTATTTTGTAATATGGCTTGGTAGTGGATACAAATGAAAATAATACAATGTGAATGATACCTTCATTTGAAGATGTTGTATTATTATTACGGAAATTGTCCTAAATAGGACTAAAAAGTTCCTAAAAAGCACAAATAGGACTACTATTTTTAAAATTCCCTAAATAGGACTAAACATTGATTTTCTACCCTAAATACCCCTAAGAGTATTAATTCATAATGAAATGCTTTAATTCATAATAAAATCACAAAAAACGTAAAAAATATTTAAAAAACGTAAAAAAATTAAAAAAAAATTATAAAACATTTATAAAATAAAAAATTTAATTTTTTATTTTTTTAATTTTTTTAAAAAAAATAATTAAAAATAGTAAAAACCCATAAAAAATGAAAAAAATTATGGATACCTTTCTCACCGCCTCCCGCCGCCTCCCAGCACCACCACCTCCGATTGGTGAAATTTCTTCCACTTTTGGTAAAAAAATGCCATATTTTTCTGAAAATGTCAAAAAGATGGCATAATTACTCTTCAATATGCCAACATTTTCATTGATTATGTCATCATTATGGCATTATTTAAAATGTTGGCATATTTTTGTCCGGTGATGGGAGATGGTGGTGTTGGGGGTGGCAGGGGTGGTAATGTGTTTTTTTTAATTTTATGATTTTTTTTATATTTTTTATTTTTTTTTAAAAAAAATATTTTTTTAATTTTTTTAAAAAACATTTTTATTAATTTTCTATTATTATTTTTTATGATTTTTAGTATTTTTTTCGATTTTTATTAATTTTTTATGATTTTATTATTAATTAAAACATTTCACAAGTTACAAGGGTATATTTGTCTAAACACACATAAATAGTCCTATTAAGGGAATTTAAAAAATGTAGTCCTATTTGTGCAATTTTTCCATTTTTCAGTCCTATTTAGGGAATTCACTCTTATTATTATTATTATTATTATTATTATTATTATTATTATTATTACTATTATTATTACTATTATTATTACTATTATTATTACTATTATTATTACTATTATTATTACTATTATTATTACTATTATTATTACTATTATTATTACTATTATTATTACTATTATTATTACTATTATTATTACTATTATTATTACTATTATTATTACTATTATTATTACTATTATTATTACTATTATTATTACTATTATTATTACTATTATTATTACTATTATTATTACTATTATTATTACTATTATTATTACTATTATTATTACTATTATTATTACTATTATTATTACTATTATTATTACTATTATTATTACTATTATTATTACTATTATTATTACTATTATTATTACTATTATTATTACTATTATTATTACTATTATTATTACTATTATTATTAC